CAGTGGGACCGGGGCAGAGGGCGGAGGCAGCCCCTGCCTGGAGAGCTGAGCCGAGGGGCAGCACCCTGCTTTCAGCAGAGGGGTCAGGGTGAGGGATCCGCTGGTCCCTGTGCTGGTGCGGGTGGGTGGCCCCAGGGACCCCTTTGGGAGGATGCTGGAGCTGTGGGTGGGAGGTCTGGCAGATGAGCAGGGCTGGCAGGGACCTGCAGACAGGGCTCTCGGGTGGTACCAAGGTGGGGTGTCCAGGGATGGAGGCTGCCCGGGCTGGGATCTGACCCCTGCTGTGTTCAGTGCCAGGTTTCTCACGTGTATCTCCAGCTCCCAGCCTACGGATCTATCCCCCAGGGATGACAGAGGGATAAACTTCTCCTGTGAACACCCTCAGTCACAGCCGTGGGGCTCCATCAGCAGTGATGCCCCTGTCCCATGTGTCCCCCATCCTTCTCACCTTGACACCCTCCCAGGCTCCCTGAAGTGGTAGGATGCCTGAGTTCCCAGCGATGCCTGTGACCATTGGGAACCTCATCCCTTGGCTTGGCTGAGCTGCCCAGCCTCAGGCTATGGGTTAGCACTGGTGCCCAAAGTGACCCCTCCCTGCCCCACTCAGTGGGCAGGATCAGCAGCTCCCTCCCATCCTTCACAGGGTCCTTCAGGGAGCCCCAGGAGATGGTTGTCCACGAGTAACAGGACACAGGCTTTACTGAGGTGGAATAATTTACTGTGGTGTGGATGGGCAAGGGGTGCCTGGGCTGGGTTTTGGCAGGGATGTGGGTGAGGGATGCAGCAGGGCTGGCTTGACAGTGGACTCCCCACCATGCTCCCAATGAGCCATGTGGGATGGGAAGGGTGGGGGAGCCCAGGCAGGGGCAATGCTGCTTTGGGCACTTGATCTTGAGGGAGCTAGTCTTGTGGGGCAGGAGGGACCTGCCTCAGCTGGGGCAGGTCTCTGCAAAGGTGGGATGATCCAGGGCTGGGGTGTGAGCTCAAGGTGAGGGCATGGGATGCTTTGGTGGGCTGGAGTAGGGATTTGGGGGGCTGGAGGTCTGGGGTATGTCAACAGAGAGCTGGGCAGGGGACTCAGAGGTGCAGGGTAAGGGGCTTAGGTGCAGACAAGAGGGCCAAGCAGGTATCCTAAGTGCAGACAAGAGACTCTGGGGTGCTGGGCAGGGGGCTTGGAAGTAGCCAAGAGTCTCTAGTGCAAACCAGGGCTCACAAGCATGCAGAGCAAGGGTACTGGGTGCAGCCTGTGCTCCTGCATGTGGGAAGGGGTCCTGGGAGCAGAGCAGGGAGCTCAGAAGGGAACAGGGTTCCTGGCTGTGGATCAAGGCTCCCACACAAACGCAGGTGGGAATCCTGGGGGTGCAGAGCAGGGTCCTGGGGCACAGCCAAGGGCCTAAGCGGAGCAGAGTAGGGGTCCTTGGGTGCAACCAGGGGTGCAGCGTGGGGCCAGTGCAGAAGTCCGGGACAGGGCAGGGTGGGCAGAGCCCTAGTGCTGCCCTGCCCCATAGAGCAGGGGGTGGTAGAGGGGGCACGGGTAAGAGAACATGAACTTGACGGCAAATTTCATCTCCTTGTTGTGCTTCTGCCAGGG